CTGTAATCACCTGGAAGGTGCGGTGTGTATTTGGGAGTGATCCCGCACGCTGCCCGGCATTGAATAAACACACACTTTCTAACTTTAAACTGTTAGAGAGTTTTTGTCCGTCACAGTTGGATATCGGTACTAGATCAAGATCCATATTTTTAATAAATCAACAGCTTTCATCAAACACCCACTAAACACATTCTTGCCTTTGTTTCTTCATTCTTTTCCTTTGTTTCTTCATTATTTTCCTTGACTTTGCTGCCACTGACAACAAAAATAAGTGGCTTATCCTTTAGACTGCACTGGCTCAGGACACAGCTATAGGAATGTTGCAAGTTATTTCCCAATTTTCTTATAGATTCAGTGCATGATTTTGCATAAAACTTTTACACCCAGATTCTCTGTAATAATTAGGCAACTGAATATTAGTGGCATATCAAAATTATTCTGAGGCTTTAACTGCCTTGTACCTCAGCTCACTCTGACATCTGAATCTTTGCTTAAAGATACCTACAGAGGGATAGAGCCCATGGACCCAGATTACACGTTCCTAGCACCTAGGACATCTTTGCATTATCTCCTTGATCCTTTGTAAAAGTTAGAGCAACCATTAGTAATTTTCAATAGTCATAATGGGTTTAATATGATAATGGCATGCCCTAATCAAATAAACTCCACACAGGGGGAATCTTCCAAAGGCTGAGAAGCCAAAATGGGATTTATTTTGTTCTGATGGATAAAAAAAAAACTGGTCCCAGCAAGAGATAATGAAACTTCTGTCTGCAGAGGGATTAAATTAACTTAATGGACATGAAAACTAAATATGCAAAGATACAATCCTTTCTGAAATGTGGAAAAGTGATGATCTTGGAAACAGTCCTATCACTTGGAGCACATAACAACCAACTGAATTGTTGTGGTGCAGAGTGCAGCTGCAGACTCCTTTATGAGGTTTCATTCTGCCCAAAAACTGAGTACAGAAGATTATTATCAGTGCAGAACTAAGGCAGTGGAAGACAATAAACATTCAGAATTTACTTTTTATGGCTTATGCTTTGGCTCTTAATGCTGTAATGTCAGAAATTAGATTAAATTAGGCACTGGACAGAAGAGGAAAATGGGTTAAGTATTTAGATAGGCTAAGGGAGCAGTGCAGCATCTCATTTAGCCAGAAGTGAATTACCACAGTCATTAATAATATATGCCTAAGCATTAACATAATGTTCTGTTATTTACTTGCTCCACTCATTGTGAAAATTACTTTAGAAGTCACCCCTAATTTTCTTCGCTTGTGCAAGCACACATTGTGCTTTGTCATGACTCACATACTTTCCTCCAAAATCTTAGAATATTCTGTTTTGTAAAGCAAGAAACTTGCCACAGTTTGTGTAAATGAACTTTAGCTTTGCATATAAGCATGTTTATTCAAAACTAAATGAAGCAAGGCTGAAAGGAATATTAGAAAAAGAAAGAAATCCACAGGTGACATCAACAACACATTTTCAAAAACTTGAGAAATCAGGAATTATTTGTTGGTATCCTTATATCCTAAAAAGACCTAAACCATCTAAAAACTTCAGACTCGCCTTTGCATAAAACTATCAAGGATTATAATTTCTTAGAAAATAAATAAGATTGTTAATGCACATACCTAAGGTCAGAGATGATGAATGTTCTGCCAAGGTATTTTTGGACCAGTTGAGGAAGAAGCTGAGTACAAGCTCATTCTGAAAGAGAATACAAACACTGTAGGTAATATCATATGTTGCATCCAGTTCCTTGTATCATTCCCCCCACCCCCACCTCAAGAAATTTGTTGGTAATTTTTAATGCACATGTTAGAGTTGGCAATAAAAGGGAGCTTTTCCCTTTCCATCATGAGCTAGGAGCCCAGGGAGTGACTTCTGCCTAGGCACTGGGAGGATGATGATGGTGTCCTTTAGCACTCTCAGGGATGTTGCACTGATGCCTACCTGTCCCCTTTCTGTCAACACATTTCAGACAGCAGTGAGCTGCAGGGACCACAGATTTGTGCTCGCACTCCATCTCCAGAAGCTCCAGATTTGTATTTTAGCAGCTGCAAGTGCTAATACAGATACAAGAGACAGAGCAGCCCATCTGTGAAACAAAGGCAGGAGACTGAGCCTAGTGTAGGAGACTACACTCTGAGCTGTGTAGTCAGCAGGAAACTCACCCTTGGCACAGGACTGGCCCCAAGTACCTGACCTCGTGTGTGCCTCCTGAGGCTCAGATATTGTGCAAACCTCCCACCCACAGCAGCTTAATGGACACTCAGGCTGAAAAGCTCCATACACAGTTAAATCCTACCAGAAACCCACAGGGAGTGAAAGGCACGATCATATTTCACCATCCTGTTTAAAAGACTAATCCACCTTATGTACTGCTTTAACTATTACTTTTATGCACTGACCTGTGCTGCTCTAGTGAACATATATAACAGGTAGTTACATCCAGCTGGAGAGAATTAAAACAATAAACCAAATCCCCAGATTTCAGTATTTTGCAAGGTAATAAAAACGTGAATTCTTAAATGGACTCATGACTCTGAATCAAAGCTGGACAGTAATTGCATTTTATTAGCTTTCCATAAAGCCATATTTCAGAATGGCCATTCTTTAATAGGGTTAGAATTGTTACATTCATACTGATGTTACATGGACTGACACTGTAATGAATGGGTAGGACAAGGGACTTTTCAGATTCCAGCATTAAAATGTCACCATTGTTTCTTTCCAGTCAGTGGAAAATAATGTGTCTCTTATCGGCAAGATGTACTTCATGCAGCATTTGTGTCATTTCAACTTGACAAGATGTAGCATAATTTGTGCAAGAAAAAAAGAAAAGCAATGGGGTAGTGACAAAAGCAGCTAGTGAGGAGTTAACATGTGGTTACAGCAGACAGAGGAACAGATGTGTATATTTAATGGAGAGATAAGATTTAGAAATCTGGATTTATTTTCACAGTTGCCTTTCATTTTTCACTCTGTTTGGAGTTTTTCCTTCCGCACTGATATTTTCTTTAAAACAAAAATCAGGGGGAAAAAAAGACAAAAAGAAAGAAAAACCAACATAATTGTTTTCCTTGAATTGAGTGACAGATCCTTAAGTTATTAGCAGTGGACTGCCAATACACCTGTCTGTACTGAGCACGAGTAATTATTCTCTCATCTGATGAAGACGGCTTACAGGGGAAAGCCTATACACCTGCCACAGCTTCAGGCAGCTTTAAAAAGCAGAGTTATTCCCTAGGGGACCTTCACTTGCTCTTTCAGCACAAGTCCCAAGTGTAGGAAATCTCCAGGGTTGAGAGTATATTTTTGGCAGCCCAGCCTTTGTTTGACAGCATGAAAATAAGCAGAGAAACTCAAGTGGCCCTATGACTTCAAAGATCTTGAGAGAAGTAGGCAGGAGGTGGAAATAAAGATACACAAACTGACTTGAAAGAGAAATACGAAATTCCACACTGAGCAGCATGGCATTCTTTCTGCTTCCTCTCCACCTACTCTTTCTGCAATAAATGGAAATGCAAGGCAAGTAATACAAACCAAGAGGTTTGTAAATAGGAGGTGCAGAGATTGTTTCAGGCAATAATTCCAAAATCTCATTCCAAAGGAGAGAAGGCTAAAAAAAAAAAAAAAAAAAAAAAAAAAAAAAAAAAAAAAAAAAAAAAAAAAAAAAAAAAAAAAAAAGGACATTTTGTTTAAGTTCAGGAGTGGAAACATGCAGAACTTAAAACAGGCCTGGACAGGCATGGACCTGCTGGTGCCACAGCTGAAAGGCAAAGCTTTCTTGGCCCCTGGGCCCATCACACTCAGCTGAAGCCTGAGAGGAAGCAGCAAGGCTGATGTTAGCAGAAGGAAAACAAAACCTGAATGGAACAGATCATGTGGCAGGAGCAGATGCAGCACGTTGTCCAGGGCAAAGTGCTTCAGAAGTGTCTCCGTGTCTCCTGGCTGTTTGTGCAAATAAGAATTCTTCACACTGTTGTTTAAAAGACAGCAATTTCCCCCTCACCTGTGCTAATCTGCCTGCTGCAGGACTCCATCACTTAGACTTCCACCAGAAAATGTGTAAGTAAAATGTTGTCTTAGGTTGGAAATGGGGGGTGTATTCTGTTCCCATCTGGTGGGGCAGGTATCTTCTGTTCATGGGGCAGTTTGCTTTATCTCTTCCACAGCCAATCCTCCTTCCAGGAGATACCTTCTGTTATTGGGCCATTAATTATTAATTATCTTCTGTTCATGGGCCAGTGAGTGTCCCTACATGGCTGAGAAAATTCCATCATCTCATGGGGAGATGCTCTGCCCAGGAGAGGAACCAAGCATTCCTACCTGGATACAATCTGACCTGGGAACAGCACAGCAGCCTTTGCCTACTGCATTCCAGAGGAGCAACTTTCTTCCCCACTGCATTCCCAGAGGAGCAGCTTTCTTCCCCACTGCATTCCCAGAGGAGCAGCTTTCTTTTCCACTACATTCCCAGAGGAAGCCCAGGCCCATCTCCACCAGCCCTGGAGCTCCAGAGGAAAACTCCCCCCTTGTCCAGGATCCCTGCTCCAGCAGAAGCACAGCTGGCACTGCAGCAGGACTGAGTCACCATGGGATGGGACTGCTGCCACCTCCCTGACCCACAGGCTGTCAGGTCAGATTCTGATTCTGTCAGGGTTGTTTTGTATTACTGAATTGTTTATTATATTTTTATTTTCTTCCCTAATAAAGAACTGTTATTCCTACTCTCATATCTTTGCCTGCGAGCCCCTTAATCTCAAAATTATAACAATTTGGAGGGAGGAGGTTTACATTTTCCATTTCAGGGGAGGCTCCTGCCTTCCTTAGCAGACACCTGTCTTTTCAAACCAAGACAAATGTGTAAATGTCTTATAAAGTTCCCCCTTTTTCAGCAGACCTCTAAAAGCCACACTGAACTTTCAGGTGATTCCTGAATCAGTGAGACCTCCATCAGCTGAACCCCAGTTATGTAATGGAGCACAGAATTAAGCCTGCACCCAAGCACACTGCTAAACAAGATCAGATCTATCAGAGCTTCGAACATATGTGTGAGCTGTTTGAAGGTGCAGAGAACCTATTTCTAACCCAGCAGTTTTTGTTACACAGAAATGACTGTGGGTGGGAATCTCAGAGACCTTGGGGTTTTGGCAGAAAGGAGGGTACTGAGGATGACCAAAGCACCCTTTCCCCCATTGGAATTCTTACCTTTAAATCAGAAAGTGAAAATTCCCTAAAGTATTGCACACTTAAGAAGTCCTCCTACCATTTGTCTAAACATTCTTACCTAATAAAACAATAATCTTCAAGAGGTGATTCTGATATTTTTGCAGATCACTCAGCACATTATCCCAAATGGGAGCATACTGGTCTGTCTGTCTGTAACTCACAGACCTTTTTTCAGCCATTTAACTCAAAAGGCACAAACTCCACCTTTACTTGCACTAGGATACAACTGAAAAAAAATACTTCAGTGGCCTTGGGGGGCTGGCACAGCCCTGCATGATGGCAGCATGGTAGAATTTGTCTGCTGCTCTCCATCAGAGACTAACCAGAAAAGCAGTGTGCAGTTTGTGAAACACAGCCAGGTTCCAAGCCAGATTTAATTTCAATAGAAAGAAAAACAGCCTCCTCTCTGCTTTCAGCTTTCTTTTCAGCTGTGCTAGAGTAGATTTGGGGTCAGAGAACACCCGTGCTCCTATTATACTTTCACAGGATGGTGAATCAGCAGGAAAGAAAGCAACCAGAGAAAGCGGACCTTGGTGCAGCTGTTGTAACTTCAGGAAAGGACAGGGGAAGAGACAGGACTTTGAATCATCCCCATTTTGGCTCTGCTGGATGCCTTGCCACAGGAACACAGGAGTGGTGGGAGTTCAAGGGACCCACATACCCAAAAAGCACTTTGTTCCCCCACTTTATGTACCCTCATACAGCCATGTGGGAGCTTTTCCTTCATCTCTGCAAATCCCAAGGTGCACCAGTGAGTAAAATAGAAATGAAATATGGGAAGCTCTTATCAAACTGATTACTTTTACAGTGTAAAACATTAGTCACCCAAGAACAATGCTGTGGTCCAGGTTTTTACTATGTACTTGAAAATGAGTGAACATAATTTACAATCATTTCCATTTACATCCTCTTTAAAGTCTTTTTACTAAGCCTATAAGTCACTATAAAGCTGTTTATAGAACCTAGCCACAGCTGAAACACCATCACTGTTTGCTTACTTGCCTGCACAAGGTTTATCTTCACCTCCAAAATCCTCAGTTAATTTGGATACTTAGAAAATCTTTATAGACTCAAACTCCAAAATACTTTTTTTTTTACTGACTAACCTACTGTGCATCTGCACTTAATATTGTGTTTGATACTGGGGCCAAAACCAGACTTAATTAATGCAAGCTTACCTTGATTTTGTGTCCCCAGGCAGTGCACAACCCTTCCTATCACACAGCCATAAAATGAGGAGCCACCAGGGCAGCTGTACTTTATGTGATGAGATTTGGGCTACAATCACTATCCAACCCATCACTCAGCTGCAGTTGAGTGAAACAGAGAAAAATACAGCAATGGGCAGCAGCTGTCTTTTGTCACAGACTTGCTTTATGCTTTTAGAACACATATTTTTGTCCTCTTCCATGTCAGCAACTCTCAGTTCAATATTTCTTGGTGCTTCACCTCTTTTTGGGCAGTTTCTTATTGGGCACCTCTTATTGATGATACCACTTGGTTGTTTTACCATTTAATGAAGCAAAACTCAAAGATTCTGGAGATGGTTGAGAATTTTGCCCTGCAGATCTAAAAAACTCAAGTATTTCATTGTATGCAGATGATAAGTCAGTCAGCAGTGGTGCAGCTGGCCCAAAACGAAATATTATTTTGCTGTGATCAGAGATACTGGCACTGGTCTGGCACAAGTAGAATGAAATAAAAAAAAATAAAAAGGTGTTGAAACCTGTTTTATATCATGTCCTAATTGACTCAGTCTGACAATGAAGATGCATAAACTTCTGCATGTTAGTGATTGATGTAATTAAAACAGTTTGTTCATGAACACAGTCTGGTGAAGGAGTTATTTATAGCAGCGCTAGCCTGAACTTAGAAAAAGTCTCCTATTCTAGGCAATTCTTCAATAAAATCAACTAAGTGAGGCTTATGCTTAAGGTAAACCACAGACTTAAAAAAATGCCTTGAATAGGGATGGACATGAGCACGTTTAAACATTTAAACTGGTCCAAAAGCAAATATTTCCATCAAGTGATGCTCCTGCATTTACTGGATCTGCCACTAAAATTCAGAGATAGAGGAGGAAAGTTTCTGTTCATTAAAGAAGGGTTTGAAGAAATGTTTAATTCCATTTGAGCTCCGGTACAAATAAGAAGACAGCTGTTTTCCACCTCTCCTCCTTCATTCCAGCCATTTAGCAGAAAAGGTCAGTGACATTCTGACTTACTCTCAATTATAATAAAATTTTCATAATCAGAACTTAGTCTGGACTAAAAAGCTTGCACTTAAGGCATGGCTGAGGAAGGAATTTGGATGTAATTAGATTCTTTCTTCATTTCTAGGATTCATAATTACTTGATTGGTAGAACCTGTGTGGACTGGACTAAATTCTTCAGAGCAGAAAATGGTGCCTAGTCATTTAGGCTAATGTGTTTACAGAGATTACAAGTGTTACAAGGGTATTTTATAATGAAATAAAAGCTCTTCTCCCTATCTCAGACAGTACTCCAGCCTACTCTACAGCTACAATAAATTACATTTACAATTCAGCATAAAGAAATGACTTTAGCAAGAAAGTAAAAGGAATCCTGCTCTACAGGCAACTGATCTTCCTAGATTTCTTCACAAATTTATGAGTTAATTATTTATTCCTACATAGTTTTACTATTTCATAGGAATGAGTTTGATAATGCTTGAGAACTGACAACTCACTAAACAGCTTCAGCCAGGCTCCTTAACATTTTGAGAAAAAGGACAAATTTGACTGCCAAGTTGTCATAGGCACAGAAAGGGACGAAATAATTTATTTTTATCAAGAAAACCTCCAAGCTTGGCTTTAAGCTCAGACTAAAGCCAAGAGAGCACCATGATATTTTTAAAAGAATCATACCAAAGTGAAAAGTAAAAGAGAAGGGAATACAAAGGAAATTATCCTCCAACTGCTCTCCTTGTTCTAAGTGGGTCAGAACACATCAGTATTTTCTAAATTTCTCCCACTTCCCAGCAGGAGAAGCATATTGAGGTAAAAATAACGATTCAATGTTTATTGAGTATCAATAACTTTAAAGGTTAAGATCCAGAATTGCAGGTTAGCAAAATGATTTCCTACATTCAGCAGCATTTTAGGATGGAAACAATCTGCTCATTCCTCTGCTTGTTATCCCTTGCCCTGCAAGTCCAGCACACCAAGAAGCAGCACAACCCTCACAGGTAAAAAAATTGCTTTCTTCTCCTCCTGGTTCAGCCCTCCAGGCTGTACCAGCCTGGAAATTTCTTCCCTCTCAACAGAATCAATATGTGGTGATAGTTATGAATAGTTATATAAATAAATCTTATTCTTGATTAATATAATGCATTACTAAGCAGCTTGGTGTTTGTGATGCATGTTTTTCTCAGGGAACCTTGTGATAATTAATGTCATCACTGGGTGAGGAAGCTACAGCACAGCTTCCTAAAAAAGTTTTAAGTTCTGGATCTAAGTAATTAAAAAATATACTTACAAATGATGCAGCCAAGTTTTTCATAACAACACACTTCAGATAATGACACTGATTTCCCAAAAAGCTTTTCCTTAAAACCAATCTTATTTTGTGGCTCAGAACCACAGCAGTGCCTGTCCCCGAGCACATCTGCCCAGAGTTACCTCCAATCACCTCCGTGCTGGTTGTGTTCCAGTGCTGGCAGGATGTCCCAGCTCCAGGGGTGTGTGCTGGAGGTCCATAAAGGGAGGAGGAAGGACACTGGGAAGGACCCTTGGGTTTTCTGAGGAGCAGGCCAGGCAGCCTGCTCTGGCTGAGCACCACCCCATGGAGCAGGAGGCACAGCAGAGCTTCTCTACACCGCTGGGAGACGTTAGCAGGCTAATTTTTCAGCTGTAGATTAGGATTCTGCACAGCAGTGCTTGGCCCAAATTGAACATCCCTGTACCTTCTAGCAGTCCAGAACAGAGCAGAAGATACTGAGCTCTTCATTTCTAGGTCACGGACTTAGGTCAGCTTTTCCTCTGCTGTGACCCATGGCCCCAATGTGAGGGTCAGAGAGGAACCACAGAATCCTCAGGGCTGGAAGGGACCTCTGGAGATCTTCCAGTCCAACCCTGCTGCCACAGCAGGGTCACCCAGAACAGGTGACAGTGGAACACCTCCAAGTGGATTTGGAATGTCTCCAGGGAGACCAATTCCATGACCTCCTGGGCAGCTGTTCCAGGGCTCTGCCACCCCCAGTGCATAAAAGCCCTTCCTCATGTTGAGGGGAAACTTTTTGTGTTTTACTTGCACAACAATCTACCCAAACTTGAGCAGATTATTTGGCAGTGTCAGTCAAAGGAGCCAAGCATCCAAGTCAGCTGTTCTTACCAAATTATGTGTAACTCAGTGAGACAAAAAGATTTTTATCCTCTTTGGAAATCTCAATTTCAACTCAGGGCTCAGAATCCACATTCATATTAATAAGAAAACTTCTGTTTGTTTTGCACATGGACAATTTCCTCTTTAATCTCCATTACAAAGTTACAGCTGGGAAAGTTATATAGCTAGGCAGGAAACATTTTTTTTTTTCCCCTGCAAGACATTTGAAATTTTGGAGATCAAACATCCTGTCATACACTCTTTTAGCTGTCCCTACTATGAAACCCAAGCAGCCCCAGTTTGGGCTGTGGCCCTGAGGTGCACAAGGCTTTGTGCTGGCCCAGGCAATGGAAAGTCAATGTTTGTTACAATTCTGACTCTCAATTTTTAAGCAGGAGGAGAACCTCAAACCTCAGAAAATGATAACGAATAAAAAATGAGAAAACACCAATTTTAATGGACACAATGCATCATTCTGATATTATTGAAATGTTCTGGGTTAGGTCTTATGTTTGCAAAACTCTCTTCTACCTGTTAAATACATTTTGAAAAGAGTATTTCTGGGCTGAAAGAATGTAACTTTTCATTTAACAACTGTCAAAATTGGACTTTTCAATATTTCAAAGCTTACTTCTTTTTTTAGATGTTACATTCCTCAGAATCTACTCCTTACTGTCAAAAATTCAGTGAATCACTACTTTTCAAAGGCAGCAAAGGAAGAATAGTTTTTTCTGAAAAATGCCCTGCCAGGTCTAACAAACTATTTCTCAGTCATACTTGTCTTTGTCTTAAGTTTTGATGAATGCTGCAATGGTTCCATCCCAAAATGCATCATTAGAGAGGCGTCACTTATGTATTTTTTTTTTCTCCAAAACAGGCAATGGAAAATTTCCTGAATCTTTTGGTGAAATGCTACTAGAAATGATGTGCAAATAAAAGAAATACTGGAAATGCTCACATTAGCCAGTTTCCTGGAGCCACTTAATAGCTGCTTCAGATAGAGGTTCAAATCCTTCACTCTCTTATGTTCAAGATCCGTAAAAGGTAAATGCCATGAGTGGGGAAATCTGCAAAAGAATATTCATAAGCAAAACTCTTACACTGTATTTACTGAAAATATTTCCAGCTGAATTTAACAGAAGAAAGCCAAGACTTCCTAAGAGGTTTTGCAGGTAAGGGTAGGAATGCTTACAGGGTAAGCTTACAGGTCACATTACACTCACTCTCTTCTAATAATTTGCTGGTAAATTGTCTCATACTGAAGCACTTTTCCTCTCTAAATAATTAATTTAAAAGTAAATAAATAAACAAATCCTAAAAGACACTTCTTTGCACTTTATGGTCCCTAAATAGATTTAAATAACTGGCCCTTTATGATCCCAAGAAAATATTGCCTTTTTGCACAACATGTCTCTGATCTCAGCCCAGAGTTGACATATCCTTACCACAGAACATTGAGCACCAAAGCCTTACAGCAACAATGTGACATTTGATAAATATATCATTGCTTGCATTTTTACCTCAGCTATTTAGAGTGTAGATAAGATTTTCAGAGTGGGCCCCTGATCCCATATCTAATTCCAGGTACTAGCATAATAAAAATAATAAATGAAAACAAATGATCATCACATTAACAAAATCAATCCCAGCAAAAGCAATAACAAAAAAATAGCAAAAGTAATATTCTTGCAGAATTTTTATTAAGATGAATTTAATTTTGGGTTAGTAAATAAATTACACATGCACAGAATGGCCTTGTGTCAATTTTCAAGTACTTTGGTGGTTGAAAATGTCAAAACCTCCCATTTTTTTTACTTGAATCATATTTGCATTTTAGAGACAATGCATATTGGATCAGTCAAAAGGTTAGAGTTTTAGCAACACACATAATCAATTTATATTAACCTTGCCCTGACAAAGGGTATTTATCTCCCAGGCTGAAGGAGCATTAGAAAAGCTATCTGTGTTAAATTGCACATAATGGGTTTTGTGATACAGGTTGCTAATAGCAGGATTCATAATTAACATTATGCTTTATGTCCTCTAATGTATGAGACAGAGTAAGTGGAAGTTTTCATCTGGTTGTATTTCATGTCCCACCACCACCACTGTAAATAGTCAAGTGTGTCTTGTTTACAAACCTCTTTCTTTTCTGCTGATGCCTTGGGAAGGCTGCCCTAGAGCAGAGGCTGGACAGAGTTACAGGATAAAGTAGGAATTTATTAAAAGGATCTCCTCCATGGATCCACCTTGGGCAGCACCAGAGCCCAGCCAGGGCTGCACCCAAGATGAACCGAAATGGTTTCAAAATGCACGAGCGCTCCCGGGGGCTCTCCCTGGGATCAGTTCTGCTCCATTGGCACCTTGGAGTTCATTGTCCCATTCCAGCTTTAGCCCAAGCAGTCCCATCCTGCTTGTTTTTATCTCTCCAGCCCACGTTGTTTGTGCTCCTGGACCTGAGATTTGGATCATTTGTCCTTGGTCCCCAGCTGGACAAGGAATTGTTTTGTCTCCCTATTCTGTGAAGAGAGCTCACCATCCCCTAATATGAAGCCCAGGCCCACACACTAAAGCAGCACAGAATCTGAAAAATATAAAAACTAAAACCCGAGTCATCACTGCTATGAGCTTTTTTTATCCAATAGATCTCAACTGGTGTCTGAAGGGTTCAGACAAAGATCTGTCTAGTTTGTGATACACTTGGCCAGCCTTTAGGAAGGCAGCTGCAGAATTCTGTAGGGAAAAAAACTCAGAGCTGGTATGACTTAGTCTGGGATTAAACCATGCTGCATTAATGGATGAACTTCTGATGGTCCCTACCCATGGCACTGGAGGATCAGGGCTCAGTTAGGGGCTGAACAGATGGATAGGAAGAGGTGACCCTTCCCTTACAGTGGCAGGACACACAATGAAGAGGGAAAAGTCACAAAACCCTGGCTCATGACACGACCCTCTTTCATGACACATGTGAACAGCACAGATAAAAATAGAGCCCAGGTCATCTGGAACACAGAGGCTTCTTTCAAAGGGTGGGAGAGGAGACCAGTTTGGAAGCAGTTTAAAATGAATTAGCCTGTGTAACACAAAGAGAGAGCTCTGGCTGGAAAGTGCAGGCCCTCAGAAGATGCAGAGCACAGGGGCCAAACAGAGGACAGAGAAACTGCAGATGGAGAACCCCAGTGACTGCTGGAGTGAAGGACAATGTGAACCTTGTGGTGGCACTGAACCCTTTCTTTAAAGCCCTTCTTGCTTTTGATGGATCCTGGCTGTGCTGTAAGTGGCCCTGCCCTTGTGAGTGCACTTGTGTTAGAAAAAGTGAACTTTCCAACCTGATACTTAGCCTCTACTTGAAATGGATCAGAAAAATATCAACCTGCACAGAACATTGCATTTCCTACTTGTCTGAACATTGTCCTGTATCTAAGTTATGTCACCTATGTGTTTTGTTGGGTGAAAAAAATTTGCCACTTCATAAAACAATAATTAAACACAATTAATCCCCTCTCAGAAATCAAAAGAGAAAGATGGTAATAGAGTGCAAGGACTTGCTTAGGGCAGCTGTGTTTCTAACTTGTAAATATGGGCTGAATGAACACATGTCAATAGCAAAATTTCAGATTCTGGGAACTCCGAGCTTGTGCCATATGTTTCTCACAATACACTCAGTATTTAGCACTTGTATGAAGCACTCTCATATTTCATTGCTTTCTCCTAATGAGACATGAATATGTACAATTCTATAAAATCATTACAAAGAAGAAACCAAGTCCTTTCTGTTAGCAGTTCCAATTATTCTAGCAATATTAAATATTTAATTTTTTTTAATCAGACACTTTTAAACTGATTTTGTGATTACATTGTGGAACAAGGCTTTTTCCTTTCTTTGAAGCATCTGGCATCAGCCAGAGCTGGAGCTTTGTAGCACACAGACAGACTAATGGTCTGATATGGCATGGCAGTTTCAGTAATAGCTCCTTATAAAGAAATAATTAGGTTTTTATTGTTAGATTAAAATTTGGGATATGAATGAAAAACCTCCAATTGATGAAGTTCTGTTGGAATACAACACAAAATTTTAACATTAAATAATGTGCCTATCAAAAAACATGATAAAATGAATTGTTTTAACACAATTTTAGGGAAAGATCCTGCAGTGACAGGATACTGCTGAGACTGAATTATGGCAATGAAGCACTGGAGCTGCTAAAGACAGCCTCAGTATATGCAGATGAACCCTCTGTGAGTTCTGAAGTGCTCTTCAGCTGTGAAAATGTTGCAAATGATTTTATCAGAGGTAGATTTATCTGAAAAATGACTAGTACTATTTTTAAAATTCACTACAGGGTTCCTGAGGTTTATGTGTTTCCAAAGAGAAATGTATTTTCTTTTCAAAGGGTTCTGCTCACCACAGGAAAAATTCACAAACAGGTACTTGTTAAATATTTTATTTTACAACCCAATAGTTATCCTGCAAGTATGTCCAAATCAAAACCATGATTCAAGCAATTTCAGTATTTGTTTAGTGAAATTTCAATTCTCACCAGCTGCTGCAAACCAGCTCATGTGAGAAAGCCATAATGAATCAAATTGGAGTCAATAAAATCCCCTCAGGCAGGAGACAGATTCTCTAGAATTAACTAACCTTAAGCCATTTTTCAGAATGCTTCTCATGAGCTTGAGGGAATATCACCCTTGGATCTGAAATTCATGGATTTTAAGTTCAAGCCATGTTGTTTGTGGCTATTTACTTCATGTCAAATCCAAAGACTTGAATCTCAGCTTGGTTCAACTAAGCTGCTTGTATTTTAGGCCAGCTTTATGGGTTTTTTTGTAGATTGAGCTTGAAGGGCTTGTACCAGGTGAGTCACAAAGACTCAGTCCTGCTTGAGAGAGGACTACTTTGTATTCTGGTGTATGGAGTACAAGGTATATGATATATCATATATCATATATGATATGAAAAAATCACTTGTATTTCTGAAGATGGGCATTACATAAGGCAAAGCTGGTTTATATAAGACATAAATAAACCATGGGACTCACTACCCCAGGAAACTGTAAAGAAATAACATTCAGAAAATGAAAAGCAGGAACAGACATGCACATGGATAGAAAGTAATATTCAGAATTATTGCAACTAATGACAGATTTTTCAAAGGATGTTAAACTCAATTATGTGTGACACAAAGTATTGGGCTTGGTTGGGGGCAGGACAGTACATAAGATTATTGTGTATTTCTCAGCTGGGGGAATGTGCACCACGTTGTAAAATGTTCATGACGGTGCTAGATTTCTGTTCTGATCCACTGTGAACATTCATACATTGCTTTAACATATAGATCTTGCTATGAGTTTTGATAAACATCATAAAGAAAGTAAAAAACTATTAAGGCACCTTTAATTAAGTCAATTTAATTTGATTATTAATTTCAGGAATAGTTTTGTCAGGCCCAAGCTGTTCCCCTTTTCTCCTCCCATTAAAAAAGGAACAACAAAACTGCTACAACGGTCTGTGATTCAGTTTCTTCTGGGGCTGAATAGGAGGCTTGACAGAATATGTCACTCTGACTTTGTGTTTCTAAAAATATATCTGCTGAGAATATTCCTACAGATTTATCTCAGCACAGAAGAGAGAACCACTTAACAGCAGAATAACATTGACTTACTCTGGGAGGGCATGAGATGGGAATTGCTTCTGGAGATGACTGTGAAGTTTTGAGAACTGATGGAATGATTTTTCCACAAAGGTGACCACATTGCAGGTTTGCACCACCTGGATGAGGTATACCTGTGTCGGGGGAAAAGAGAGGCAGAGCACAGAAATTATCAAAGAGACAAATTAAAAAAAAAAAAAAAAGCACAAGAAAATATATAGGGTCATTTCAACAAAGAAAAACCTTCCTTTAATGTAGTGCCAAGTGCCAGAGAATTCAGTTTGTAATTCATAGTCTGCTGCACGGGAAGAGAAACTTGCCTGGGTAGCATACAACTCAAACACTGAAAGATCATTGCAGTGTGTGAAAACTAATAGTGCACCATTAAAGCATCATATAACAGCCTCCAATTTCTATTAGGCTTCCTAATTTTGTGCCATGCTTTCCTTCTGGATGCTTTAATTAGCTCCTGATTTATTTTTCACTATAGGGAATGAACTGTTCTCCTTAATGGCTCCCTGCAAATATCTGTCTGCCTGGTGCTTTTGCTCTCTGGTAGCTCACTGCTTATGGCACCACTATTCATCCCATGATACTTTTAAAGTAGCACAAGCACATCTTCTAAAAAGGAAGAGGGAGAGTGCATGATTTCTTGAAAGAGTCATTAAGGATCCAGGCAAATGAGGGCAAGCAAAGAACATAATACATACGGAGTCAGGCTTTCTGCTGAATCCCAGAATGGTGGCCCTGGCGATTGACCTCTCTGTGTCCAGCACCATCCATTCCTGGGGGACAGTGTCTGGAGCTGGAGGCTTTGCAGAGCTCCCCACTGACATCTGCACAAGCGTGTGGATCAAGTTATTGAGTTTAACAGGAAAGCACTCCAAACTTTCCTTTATTTTCCTGAAGAACGAACAAACACAAGAGGCACTAGTTATGCTTTTTTTGTTTGTTTGTTTGTTTCCACTCCTTGACACCTCTTTTTATGGATCCAAGTCCAAAAAAATCCCAAATTCTAAAGCTTACCTCACATACCCCACCATACACCAGTCACTGCTCTTTGCACTGCAGCACGTGAGCCCCTGAGCTCCAGTGCTTAAAGGAGTGTTCTTGCCACAACCTGTCTCAAGGCTCAGCTGGAGCAGCTATTCCTCATGAGCTGGATTTCTTTCAGACATCAGGGACAAGCAGATGATTTCCATGTGTGTTCTGAGGAGACCCAGGGTTGAACAACACGTGTTCATTTTGCTGAGCAGGACAGGAGGCACTAGTTATGATTATATTTATTTTTGGTTACACTAACCTCAGATGGGCTTACACGTGTTTGAGCAAGGCTCTTGGATTCAATTTGTGATATAGCTGAGCATGATGTGTTGCTAAATCCTCTACCTAGCTCTTAAAAGCTTGATCCCTGTGGAACTGCTTAAGATGAATTTAAAAAAAAAGATAAATTTTCTCCTGGTATCTTACTCCATCTCCTCCCTGTGCAAGGGGAGCCAGAACACTGTTTTGATTGCCTAGAGTTTTGAGATCTTTCATCAGAAAAGACACAATAGATTAAAAAAAAACCCTAGATAAACATGAAGATATGTACTGCAAATGTGAGAGTGAACTCAACTTGAGAAATAACACTACAAGATAATCACAGGTCTTTGAAGAGTGAGATGCAGTACTCTTTAGAAAACACTTGCTCTCTTGAATTCAATTGCTAATTGAATTTTAAGACCTATTAACTTCTGATGGTATTTTTTTTTTTGTTTCCCTACTTATTTCTATACCTCTGTGAAGATATCCTATATCTCTTCTGATTGTATAGAACAACAATCCATTAATTTCAAATTGTGTGGCAGCAAACCCTCTACCAAATTGTCAGGGGGTTGCTGTGCTTCCTTTTTCTTTTTTTTTTTTTTTTTTTCTATTTTAATCTCCCAGTTTTGGATTTTATCTAACTAGGTTACAAGTGCTGACACCACTCTTAACCACCTTCATCATGCCTTGTTCAAAGCTCAGCAAATGCTTCACCTGTCATTTTAGATTGGATTTTTATTCATGGGTTTTCTGTGAGTGGGTTGGAATGCATAGTGCAATCATTTGAAATCGAGTCCATTCATAGCATTAGCCTGATTTCCATGATCTCACATGCTCTGGCTAAAGTCTGTAGCTTCACAGATGAAACCAAACCAAACCTCACCCCCCTGAAATTCAGATTTTATTCAAAATATGCTAATTAGGCATAGTAAACGGTGGAAAGATGTATATGTTCCTCCTAATGTAATACAAGGAAAGGTACCTCAGAATTGATTTGGTTAATTATCTTAATTATTAATTACGTTCTTTAGAAACAGATACAAACTATTTACTAAATTAAGTAAATTAACACTCTAATGTAAAACAAGAAAACAAATCTCCTTTCAAAATATTAGTACAAAATCAATTCAGTGATGATTAACCAGGCTGCATCAGGGTGAACTCTTCCTTTTTAACTCCTATGTGTTTAATTTAATGTGTAGTTTAAACACTTCCTAAATCACTGAGACATTAGGTTACAGAATCTGTAACTGGCCATATTATGGCAGAGCAGTTAGGGAATTTGCCACATTATTATAAAAGAGAGAAGTCATAACTTTGCAGCTAAACACACTGCATTTTAATTTACATAAAACAGACCTCAGATTGTAAATTACTACTAATTCAGACATCATCACTACACAGAACTGCCTGATATCAGACTACCACTATTCCTTCCATGGGGCCATTAGGCTTCTAAAACACTTTAAAAACCCAGATTGCTAATCACATACTTTAAATCTAAAACAAAGCCTTGTGTTGTCATTGCTGCACATTTTTCCTGCGAGTTATTTGAAATAATTACATCTAAAATCAAATAAGGACAGAAGTATGAGTTGTTTTCTCCCCCTCTCTGCTTTGACTGCATGCAGTCATCTTTGCTAAGATAGAAAACATTAAGCAAACCTTATTATATGTAATCAATTAGAGAATTCAAGGCCTCTTTGCTATTCTTTGTCTCCCCAGCAAGGTGGAACAACTCTGCTTGTGGCCCTCTGCCCTTTCTTTCAAGGGCAAATTGGCTTGAGGAAATCCTTTTTCCCAAAAGCTGGTTCCTAACTAAATATGGAGCAATGGGGTGCATCAAACCCATGTATCTTTATCTTTTTGAGATTTTGCAGTTTATTTTTGGCCTGGATCAGTTCAGTGACCCAGTTTATACACTGTGGGTACCCAATTCCCCTTTCCACTGGCATTTTTAAAGTTCATCCTGAGGACCAGGAAACTTCCAGTGGTGGAAGTTTTTTCTTGGACTCTCCCAGATCCCCATACACCTTCTTTTCTCTAGCCACATTAAACTCAGCAATAGTTGAAAGCAGTAAGGTCGTGGGTAGTGTTTGTAAAAATCCTCCTCTTTCTCCCTGGCAATTACCATCTCTGCCTGTGCCCAAAGCTGGCTCTGCCTTCACAAAGATGACAAAAATTTTCTTATTTATTTGAGAGCTGTGGTAGCATGGAAAATTAGTGCATGATGGTCTAGAGATAGCTAAACTAAGTGAACAGCACAAAGGGTATTAAAAGCCCAGGTTAATCAGAAGAAAACTGGAAACTGTCATTAAGTAGAGTAATATTAGCAGCGAATCCAGATATTGCCAACACAGTTTTTGGGGAGAAAAATGCTATTTTACACATGTTTACCATGCAGATTGGTATCTGACCTACTTCTCAGAAAAGAAAGTTAAATATCTGGGTTTATTGGAAAGTAATGACTTTCAGCTTTCCACCTGCTGAATTGACTTTGAATTTCAGATTTGGCTTCTTTCCTTCTACAGAGATGTCAAATTACAGTATCAGGTAAAACATGAACAGACTGGCTGGCTGCTTGTGTAAAAGGAGATGGATGAAAAGTTTGGCTGATGTTTTCATGAGTGAGTAGTGGTAGTTTGCCACTTTAGTTTTAGGAAGCAGACATTCCTTATGGGCCTTATGGGTATTCTGAGGGCTGGTGCTTAGATTTTTCAGGACACAACAGCCTTTATACACAGCACATACAACCATTATTACTGACTAGTTATTAAGATTTTAGCCTTAGTGGATATTTCTTTATTTTTCTTGATGATAACCTGCTTCTCATTTCCATCTAGGCCTGAAAATCATTTTAGAGTATTATGAGCAAAATTTATTTCCATGGGATGCTCAGATGTTAATTAACAGAGTTTCATTTATATTCCACATTTCCATCCACGAATTTACCAAGTTCCATTTTAAAACAAGTTGAGATATATGCCCACATATTAATAGAGTTTTCTAGAATATTACTGCTTTCAGCAACAAACCTTTTATAATATGAATTCTTCAAAAAGCATAAATTCAAGTGGGAAATCTGCCTCCTTCTCCTTTGGGCCACATACACCACAATCTTTACAAACTACTTGAACATCACTGAAATCAAGTTTAGTGTTTGGTCCATTCCCTTTCAGATGGCACCAACTTCCACTGTCCTTCACCTGTGTGGGAAATTTCTTGCTGAAATACCCTCAGCCACCTGAGAAACAGAGTTGACTGATCAGTTTGAGATCAGCATCATGTTTTGAAAGGAGTTACTGTGGACTGTCCAGCTGGAAGCTGCTTGCATTTGTGGTTTGGAGTGGATGTGCTTGACCTGGGGTGACAGGTACCTAAAAAATGAGTCCATTAATAAATAAAGAAACCAGCTGACCCAAGCAGCACCCCCCTCCATCAGGCTGCTGAAGATATGCAATGTGCTCCCCTGGTAATTGTGAGATCCACCCTGCATCTCTTATTCATGGGTTTCTATTGAGTGGGTTAGATTGCACACTGCAATCAATTGAAATCAACTCCATTCATTGCATTAGGCTAACTTTATGCTCTTAAAACCAATTTTAAATACACATCCCTGTGCAGGCACATTAAAAATGTCAGGCAGCCAGCCACACCATGCTGATATTTGAAGACATCTGCAGAAAACCATAGAGGAAATTTATATCCAGAGGTAAGATGGGTTTCCATTTTCTGATAAAACTGTGCTGTCAGGGGAAGAGGAAAGGAGGGAGGGGTAAGGATCAAATTGAGTTTCAAGGATCAAACTGAGTTCAGGGCAGATGCTGGAGAGACAACGATGTTTCATTTGGCAGTAGGTGCACAGGACTGACAAGGAAACACAGAAACTCTTGTTTAACTCTCAATTGGTGCTTTGTTTATCCACCATGTGAGGGTGTGACCTTCCAGAGGGCTGTGAGCTGCGAGGCTGAACGCTACTGCTCATCAGCTCATAACAGGGGACTGACCCCATGTGGGAAGAGCTGCACACAAATAACACCACAGACTGCTGCACACGACTTAAATCAAGAATGAGACCAAAGAAATTCAGTAAAACACAGAACACTTTAGGAGCCTGAAAGGGGGTCAGTGCATTACAGTCCAAACTCCGACACAATTGTTCTGCCAGCCAAAGAGGTGACAGCAAAGAACAAATGAACCTGGCTCTGCCAGGAGCATTTGTGACATCATTCATCATTTCATCTTGTTTCTAAACAACACTAGGGCCAGTGTCAGTGGTATTGCTAAACCAAACTCAGGAAATTGCTAAAAGCAGCCCATTTTCACAGAAATAATAGAGGAATCCTGTTCTCCTGTTTCCACAAGCAGAAGATTGGGATTTTCTGTAGACACATTATAGGGTTGAATCTGAAAGATTACAATAACTACCTTGGACTTAGAACAAGAAACACCTTTCTGTTGGCAACATTTAACATTCCAGCTCTCCTTGTCTAGAAAAGAGCTTGTAAAAAACAATGAAGTGTTTTTGGAAGCAATTATAGAGAAAAAAGAGCTACAAATAGTGAGGGATTTGAAAACTACTAGAAGCTGTGCTAATAATCAGAACTTCCAATTTCCTTGTCCTTCTAAGGGCAGTTTGAGAAAATAGATACAGGAATAAGCCAGAGATTGACCATGAAAAGTATGTAACTGGATTTTTATCCTATCAATATTTTATCAATATTTTATCTTACCGATATTTTATCCTATCAATATCCAGTCAGATTGGAAAGTGCTTTTACAGAGGGGCAGTCTCTGCATGGATTTAGGTATCAGGCCATCCCAAAGTCTTTATTTTGAAAAATGCCTGGATACAATTTCCAGAAGTTAAAATCCTACTAGGCATGAGGCCTGATATTATCCCCATGTTCAAACATATTGAAAAGTTAATATATTTTTTTGAATTAGAGAAATAATGTTCAAATGAATAGAATCTGGAATAAAGAAGAAAAGGAAGAGAAATGAGATCCATGGAAATTCATGAACTAATGTAAAGGGATTTTCTTCTTGCAAATGACCATATATGATAGAAACATATCCGAGGAATATTAATGAATAAAATATGCACTCGAGCAATATCTGTCTTTTCTATGTGATACAATGATGGACAACAACAAAGCTTCAGCATTTTGAAGGAAACTAGAACAACAGCTCTGGAGCTTGCAGAATGCATTTTAGGAGAAAACGCAGTTTCAGATAAGAACAGAGCCCACAGCACAGCTAATTTCTTGGTGTGCAGGAATTGAGTGGAATTTCCTTCATTTCCTTAGCACCACCTTTAACAAGAAATTCCTTCTAAGGGGAAGAAGAACATTCTGGCCTCTGAGCCCTACTTATAGTTTCTGGGAGCTGAATAGGATTTCCTAAGCCTAACACAAACCTCTACCAGGCAACAAAGCACACCAACTCTTCCAAAATCCATACTCTGTTTTAAAATGTTAATATTGAATGGGCTTCACTTCAAGGCTCAGTTTCACACTATCAGTATAGGTCCAGTCCAGACTTGTTCCTTTCTGAAATTTTTCTGAAAATGTTCTTTTCTCATGTCACCTTATGGCCTTATTCCACATGCTTTGGCTGAGGAAGACTGCAGGTGAATTCCCACCCTGAAGTCCCTAACCCTCAAAAGAAAGGCTGTGGAGATCCAGCCCTGTCCTGAAGCAAATCTTCATCCTTACTCTTCCAGCTAAGCAAGGGTTGCCAACCCTAACCATGACTGACCCAGCTGGAAGCTGATCCTTTCCACCTCCAGAGGGGCAGCAGCTCTGAGCTTTGCATGCCACTGATGCAATTTTCACTCTGAAGGCTCTGATTTTCCTGCTTGTTTTGTCTATCCCAGCTCCTTTTCATTAACTAAACAAAATGGGTGTTTTTTCATGAGAGACAGACACAACCACCTGAACTAGTTGACAGAATCAAGACCTCTACAGTTTAATTAGAAACTGCATGTTTCCTATTTGAAATGGAAATAAAAGTCTGTAATTTGGGAATATATAAATTTTTAAAGGAAAGGATATGGTAGGAATTGATGGTAAATGTGAAGCTGTAATTAAATTTTAAAATATAACAATCTTGCTAAGGGGCACGAGTAAAAGCATATGAAAAAAGCAAATGCTGCAGGAAAAGGAACTCAGTGCTGTGCTGTGTGTAAAGTCATGGAACAATAGTTTTGTTTGACAAGTTCTTCTCTTTTTTTTTTTTTTTTTCCAAATAAATGTCACCCTTAGAGTCTCTAGGTCTCTGCCTCAGCCTTCTCCAAACTTGCTGCCCTCGTTTCCTTAGATTGTAGCAGATTCTAGTGCATGGAAAGGAGACATATAAACAGCACACTTCTAATTTTCCAAAACTTTCATCAGGTCAGAGGAGTCTGGGTTGCTTTCCATGTGTAGAGGGTGCGCAGGGAGCAGGAATTCATAGTCCTTGTGAAATGTTGGTACGACTCAGGGCAGCCTCTGACAGGGAGATTTTGTCTCAAGCTGTGCCTAGAACTGCAGTGGGTTTCCAGCTCCAGAGAAGTCTGCACTCATCATCTACATCATCAGCTGGAATTATGCGTGATGCTGAGACATGACCTGAAAGATCAGGACTGAGGCTCTTAGACTGACATTATGCACATCAGCTGCAGCTCCTCCTCATGAATCCCCAGCTATTATCATGAACAGGTCAAAGGTTTCAGTATCCCAACACAAGTGAAGCTTTAAATATATCTATATTCACACACAAGGCTTTTCTGTGATTGATCTGTTTATTGTTTACAAACAAGAACCAGCACTGTTTGACAGCTGGAGAAACTATGGCTAGCAGAGGGAAAGCAGCTTCTCTGAGGCAACAAAAAAAGTCAAAAGAGGAAGAGAAAAAGGAGTAAAATGCAGAAATTGAAGAGTCCCACTCAGACTATTAACAGGTTGAACCTCTTTAAGCAGTCTAAAGCTGTTTGCATGTAGCTGCTGCATTTAAAAACAGAGAGAAAATACTAGATACAAATCAGGATGGTTTCACCATGAAAGCCTGAGATATCTCCAGGCACTGAGTAAGTGATTTGTTACAAGTGAACCAGTAATGCACACCTTTTTCTTCCAGAAATTTGAGGAAATTGGTTACAACATGCATAAGGAATGACTTTTTTAATGTAAACATGTGAAGACAAATTATCCTTTTGTGTAATTTCCCTGATTAAGCTTCTTAACATAAGAGAAAAATTGCTCCATGCCTAAAGAAGACAAGGTTTCTGGATAATATTCTGGTTTTACCTTGTAAAGTAGCTTGTAGCTTGGAGATCTGAGTCCTGAGGACGGAGGTTATCATACACATATTTCAGATCCTGGATGCTGTTCAGCTCAGGCAATCCTGCATGCAGCATCTAAATGTAAAGTAATATTAGATTATTAGTCCACTGTTCTATTGAAAATAAATTTAAATGAAACAGGCCTAAGTGAGAGAAGAAAGGTTTTATGCCAAAACAGTCTTGTAAAACAGTTTTGCTGATCTGAAAAGTGGTTCTGATGCTAGGGCAATGCCTGGAATAATAAAGTGAATATACTGCATTGTAAACCTTCACACTGAACGAGGTATGGGTCAGGATCAATGATCCATTGTAGTTATTTATTTTCTCTTCTGATACCATAACCTCAAGGTGTGCATTGCTAAGCCTCCTTCAGATCCTTCTAATGGAGATAAAGGGAAGGTGACCAAATTCAGCCACCTGAACAATAGTAACCACATTTCTGTGGTTGTCTTAGCCCTAATTCAATTTAGCACAACATCACCCTCTCATTTGTAACTCCTGCTTCCACCAGCACTGCTCTGGGCTCCTCCTGCCAAGGGATCACAAATTCACTCCCTTTACAGTCAGAGGAGGAGAAGAAATACTTCAGACACTGATCCATGGCAGGAGCCCTTGTTGGGCAGTGAGAGCTGCCCTCTGGAGCAGGTTTCATTCTCCACGCATGAGGGACAAAGCTGTTCTAGTTAGCCAGACTGGATTCAAAAACCAAATAATGCCAATATTCCCCTTGCAAAGTAAAATCTTGAGGAGATTAGACAGCTCACTGTGGCCAATTGTCCATACAGCTCTCTCCAGGCATTTTCAAATGTCAACAACAAAAATAAAATTTGCTCACTTCAAAACCCACCGATTTTTCTCTGCAATCACAGCAAGTTGGGAGTGATGTCTTTTTTGTGTGTAATGCAGAAAAACATCCCTCCTTCAGATTGTCCAGATGGAAATGTAACTGAATTTGCAGCCACTACTGTGTATTTTCCATTGATATTTATGTCTAGCTCAGACAGAAAGACCAACTGAGTTTTTCAAGTAACAGCAAAGTAAAAAGGAACCATTGATTTTATTTTAAGGCTATTCCTTCAAACATTCTCAACATTTATACTTTTTTTTTTGGCATTATGAGGAAAATCTTCCTCAGCCCATTCCAGGCTACCACTGGACAGGCAGATTGCTATCTTGACTGGCAAGGAACAGAAAGACAGAAAGCTCAATGAGGTGAATTAAAGTGGGCTGACAGCAGGGACAATAACAATATTCAGCACTGAAGGACACATGATGCCATTTATCATTAAACCTTCAACCCATTTATAAAAGATGACAACAACTTCAGCCCCCTTTGGATTTAAAAAAAAAAATGGTTGTTGCATAGGCAAATTAAGCTCCTTGCCCTTCATCAGAAAAGGGAGTGATAAAGTTCCTTTTAATAACTTTCTCTATTAAAAAAATAATTATTAATGGAATTTGCATTTCTTTAAAGTAGTCAGAAGGTGTTTGTGTCCTGTCATCACCCTCTTTGTAATAGTTCACATCAAATCTTTAAAGAAAGCAAAGCTGATGAACTACAGGCATTTACACAGCTGAACTCTGCCAGAAGACTCTTGGGTCTCCCACAGATGTTTCTGCTTTTCAGAGTGATGGAAACGTCATGGATTATTTCTTACTCCCAGTAGCAAATGTCAGTACAGCTTTAGAAACATGCTGCTCACCACCAAGAAATAACATTAATTCCCAAACTGGGCCAAAAATCCCTCAATTTGTTCATAATCATGTTTGCTAGAAACTGCTAATTGTCACTGATCACCCAGGGTACAGTTTACTAGCCTGTGAATATTCTGTGCATTCATTGTAATAGTCTGTGAAGTACTCTGGTTTTTAGTATTATTTTAATTTTTTTTGAACTACATTTTACAAATAGCATCTGGGAAAACAGCATGTGGGAGTAGAATTAAAGATTAATGATGCAGGTTTCCAAACAGGGAGAGAAATCTTAGACTTTGACTGATAAACTAATCACTGCTTATTTGTATCTTATCTCTCCATGATGAAATCTGAAATTCTGTATGGAAATGAATTCAAAGTGGAACTTCACAGTCTGTTAATTTTTCCAGAAATGACCCATGGAACTGAAACATTTTGATCTTTACAGTTTCTGCACATTTCAAGTGCAGAAACAGATTCGCCTTTCCAAATATTACTGGCAAAATCTTGGTGCTCCCAAACTGGTCTTGTTTAACTCCTTTTGCCATGAAGAGCTCATGGATGGGGTGTGAGTGTGCTTCCAGTTATTTTTCAATTATGAAGTGCAACACAACTGGCTGAGCTGCAGCCCACTGACAAATATTAAGACGCATCTAGATGCTGACTTTTAGCTCAGCTCTATTACCTCTGCTACAAGATCAGCAGAAACAAAGATGCAGAAAGTCATGAATACAGACAAACCTGAGCTTTGGCCAGGCAGGGATAGTTGTTTCAGAGCTGCTGCTAGGAGCATTTTCCTAACAAGCTCTCTATCATCCCAGGGCAATCTGACATCATAATCTCTGCCTCTCGCAGAAAGGAGGACAAGGAGATGGGCAGGAGATGGGGCTTTATTTGCACCACACAGTTTTAGGCAGCCTGTTCAGAAATGCAGGGATGACTGCTGTGGATGAGAGAACAGGCTGATCCTGAGCTTTCCAGTGTGGGAACTCAAAATGTCTCTCAGACATTTTTTGAGGTTCCAGGCCTTGGTCAGAAGCATTTTAGACCCTGGCAGACAGCTGAAAACAGCTGTGATTTTGAGTTTGAGCCATGGAATGAATTACCAACTTTGGAGGTGAAACAAGCAATCACAAAAGGTTAGATAGTATAGTAAAAGTAATTACAAAGTAGAGGGAAATTTTTTTTAGTATTGTACAGAGGGGTTTTAGCAAATGTACAGGGGGGTTTTTACTTTGTACATGGGGGTCAGAAGTTCTAAGATGGAGGAAAGTGGGCTGATCCTGTCCTTCCTCTTTCTTCTTCCTTACCTCCATGTTCTTGGTGATGTTGGCACTCACAGATTGGTTTAGAGTAGAAAACCACTTTGTAATATAGGTAGTAGGTATTGGGGGAAAACTATAAACATATAATACGTAATATATCATATAAAAGATAGCAGCAGCCCTGGGTGGAGGGAGAGAAGAAAAAGACAGCAGACAGAGAGGATGTCAGGGTGTGTGTGTGCCTCCACCCAGGCCGCTGACCAAGCAGCCACAGCCCGAGAAGACAATCTTTTAGAAAACCAACAATAAACTGCCTTGAGACTGAACAGCAAGAGCCTGCGCAGTTTTTCTTTGGAAGCACAGGTTGGAAGAGGAATTTCACCACCACATGGGAACCCAGAATAAGGCCAGGGTTCCCACATTCCAGAGGCTCTTTAACTTGGACAGATTCTCCTATAACATCACCCTGCACTGCTTCCAGAGGAAAATTGTGCTTTATGATGGGAATGTTGCACTAAGCAGCAAGTTCAAGAGATCTGGAGCAATCATTCCTGCTCCATAGTAGGGGATCTCTCACTGAATCACTGCATGACACTCCATGGACAAGATGAAGAGGCAAGGGGAGAGATTCCTTCGATTTCTCTCTCTCACCCCCATTGCACAAGTTGGAGATGATAAATGATAAATGATGTGGTGTTTACAGAGCAACTTTTTGGCTGTACCCCAATCTCAGCAGCTCTGTTTATAAGGCCATGTAGGCTTTTTCATGCATAAACCACTCCCTTAGGTCATGGGCCCCTGCACAGAAATTTTGGATTGATATCTTAGCCAAGCATCTCATCAAATATTAATATGAAATGTAATACATATGTAATATGGATTACATTATATATATATACGTACTATGATGTAATATTCTCTTTGTACCCATAAAGGGGAAAATCATTAACCTTTCCCACACAGGTAAATAAAGGCATAAATCAGATGTGGAACTTGCCACAACACAAATCAATCAGTAGGAATATTTACTGATAAAAACTCCTTAACAAATCTATACAAAAGAATTTTAAAACCTGTGTCAATACGGGCACTGCTCTTTCTTTCCTGTGTTTGCCATCCTGGGAAGGGATTGTGGAAATGGACAAACCCCCATTCTAAAGGCATCACTGCAGTGCAATGCTGCTAAGTACTGTCAGATCACTCACCCTGTGAACTATTCAGCTTACTTTGTCTTGTAAACATGAACAGGGACAGTAAATGAAGACCTAGGAAAAGGGCTGAGTGAAATTCCTGAATGCAAAACTTTTACCCAGCTTCTTTTGCAGTTTTCTGCTATTTTGTAAAAACCAATGCATTATAAAATGGAAAAAGCACCAAGGAGCTTAGCTTTCCTTTTCTCAAAAATTATTTCTGAAAGTGAACAGCTTATTTGCACAGGAAAGTGCAGCACCTGGACACCTGATACCTCTTCAAATCAAATCTACTGGAGGGAGCAGAGAGGTGGTCAAAGGGAAGAGAACCCTGGAGAAAATTGATTTTTGGTTTTATCCTCAAGCTCCTTACCATCTCTAGCAGGTTCAGGAGTAGCTGGCTGTGTTTCCTGACTATATTATAAGCTCGACAACAAAGCTCCACAAACTCCTGAAAACGCCGTGGGTTTTTTCCCCCCTCTGTTATGAAATACTCCATCTCTGATGTGAAGATGAAGGGAGCTCGGTCCCTGGAAAAGAGAACAATTACCTGAGAAATTTCACTCAAAATTGCTAATCATGCAAGACAGTTAATATTTGTAACTCATTATTCACATTTGTGTTCTTCAGTATTACCTTTCTCATTATTTCATCTCTCCCTTTTCTCTGGGTGGAAATGTCTATTGCTCTGTCTGATCAAGTGGGACAGAGACAGGTTTGACAGCAAGAGTTTCCAAGTGAGAAAACCAACAAATGAACAACTGTTTCCTTCTGGCTCTTTCTTGCTTTTCTTTTTAAACCCTCATTGCTTTAATTTCTTGACTCCATCCTGAAAGTGAATCTGGAAACGAGTTCACTCTTGGTATTGAAATATTTAAAAGCTGTTGTCAAAGAGGGTGGGTTAGAAATATCGACTCCCTACTAGGCAAGAAGGGAATTTAAGAAAAAACCCTACACCTCCACAATCCAACAACAAGAAAAAACCCCAAGGTATGATGCTATCATTAAATATGCACCATTCTGAAGAGATATTTCTGACTCAAGTTCAAAGGGAATACAAATACATTGTCTTGTTTTCCTTACAGTAACTCTGTGTTCACCCTTGGGTAAATAAGGTGCAGAGTCTGACAACATGGCTTGCCTTTTTTTCTTATCACCAGCACAGTTTGTGGCTATGGCATGCTATTGCAGAAGAAAAGAGATTAGCCAGGCTTCTCCTAGAGTCCTATAATTCAGTAGTTCCAGAAAGGCCTGATAAACTCCATCCTCACGCAGAAAAACCTACTGCAGTGATTTACTCATCACAACTGTGTACACAGAACCATGTAAACACATCAGAGGGCTCTATTCCAAGGCAATATACAGTGTGTTACCCCTTAATTAAAAATTTTAAATAAACTCAGTGTTCTTAGTAAGTTCAAATGCAGAAATCAGTTTCAGGATGTCTATTTCTTGCTAAAACCTCAAACATGGGCTGAGTCAACCCATTGCTTCCTGATGCATTCATAAATGAGACAGATGAGCTTTCCCTCATCTTCCCATAAAAGTGCCTGCCTTACTTTACTGCAGGAAGAAAAACAAGTTGTCATGAGATTATAGGCTACAGCTGGAAGTTTGAGTCACAACAAATGTTCAGGTGGCCTTCCCACTTTTATGTTTGGGAAGGCTTCCATGGCAGCCAACATTGAATCCACATCTCCCATGGTTGCCTTTCACCTCCAAGCAGTGCAGGCCACTAGGGTGTTTTTTTAAAAAAATACATTATTTAATGCAGCAAAGTACTACTAGGCATGATGAAGGTCCACAATAAAAAATTCTTACCCTCGACATTTTTCTGTATGATGCAAAATGGGAGTTCACATTTGGGTTATATTAAAGGGTTACATTAAAGTGTGACTATTGCACAGTTACTCTGTAGTTTTGTGTGATAGATCTCAAAGAGCTACAAACCTGTGTCTGTTACTGATTTCAAAAAGTTCAGGTTTGCCCAGAACCTTCTTTCACTCATTCATTTGTCTTTTATCTTATTCTTTATCTGTGGTATTTAAAATAGACATTAAGTGTTAAATAAATGGATACAATTAGAACAATTAAATTCAATTAGCTGAAGCCCATAGGAAAGAGAGAGAATATTATCAATGGTAACATCTTGATGTATTTGTTGACAGAAGGCAAATCTAAATCCTGATTTGAAAGCATTTTAGCATCTTGAAAAAGTCTAAACCCCAAATCTCCAAATTTGTTCTTAGGCTAAAATACTCCAAGTCAAAAAACTATTGCTATAAGTACGATGCATTTTGTTTAAAATCATATTTGATTTCTGATGTCCAGCTGCGTCAATCACACCAGGAAAACACAGTCCTTTCTGAGCTAGTCCAAGTCTCCCACACTGAGCTACTTGAGCTGAAAATAGATACTGCAATCAGGAATTACTTTCCTGGAAGAAATACAGTGTTTAACATTGTTGGGTTGGGCTGTGGGCCAACGTCCCCATAATGTAATGACTGCAACATTAATCATTTCTCTTATTGTTGTTGCTAAAGGATCTACGTGAACACACAACTGATATTTTAATATTTACATTATTTATAGATTAATTTTACCTGTGGGATGACTGAAAGCAGTTTTACAAGGTTCTTAAATTTCTCAGTATCTTTTGTGAATATGTTCTAGGGCATTAGGCCAGTCCTTCCTTGTCAACATGCAAAATATGATGTAGGAATTAGATTTCTCCAGTTCTGTTTAAGGTCTTTCGCTATCAGAGCCTCTCCCACAAGGTAAACCCTGCAAAACCTGGATGATAAAGCTCCAGTAAATAAACTGGCAGTTCACAAAGGGAACACTTTGCAATGTAAATTTTAAAAAATCAAAAAATTTAGACAATGGGAAAACTTTTTAGAGCATGGGAAACAAGACCCACTAGAAGGAACAGCACAGCCATGTCTCACAATAACATTATGAAATAAAGTTTCAATGGGAAGAGACACTTACTCCCTGATCAGAACATAAAAGATTCTGGAAAACCAATTGACAGGATGAATGTCTATGCACAGATGTAATATGTTCCTTGCTGCTTCCACAAACTCCTTTGGAAAATAATAAACCAGAAGGGAAATTTTTCCAGCAAAATCATAAAAAACCAAGTCCAATCACTGTCCATCATGATGGGAAAATTTATATCAGCAAATAGAAGCTAGGCTCTAGAAGGAGAAAATCAATGAGTGCCCCGTTGTTGCATGTACCAAACCCTGTGCAAATGAACCTCACCCTGGTGTAGCTCTGAATTTTGTATTTCAATAAGGACACCTCTAACAGGCAGCCTCTTTTGGAGCAGATGGCCAAGAACACATTACACTCTGGCTTTTATTCAGAGGATGAGCAGTGCATCCAAAGGCCTGGTGACAACAGCATTCACCTGGACCTCTATCAGACAGCTTGCTCACATGAACTTACCTAAAAGTTACAAACATTAAATACTTCTTACCCAAAGCACCCCTCAAGATCACTGCTAAGGTCTATAATACTTTACATGCATGAAATATTTGATGACCAGTGACTGTGTAACAGCCAATGGGACAAGAGCCCTCTGACCTAAAATCTGTATTGATGCAACTTGCTGCCTCCATCAAACTGAAGAAATGCCTGGCATCAGTTAAAAAAAACCTGCTGTGATAAAGTACTTCCAAGTAAAAGCCTTTCACTATATCTCTGTTGACCAAAAGCCTCTTTTTTCTTATTTATGCTGTGCTAAAGAAATATGGAATTGAAGCATTATTGAAAGACATCTATGTGTAATTGTAATATCTGGTACCATTATTTTTAGAAAAGAAAAGCCTCACTGAGAGAACTAGTATGACTTGAGATAGACCAAAGATGTACAGCCAATAAACCCCCCAAAAATCATTAAAGCTACCTTATCACATCTTGCCTACTATTTTCTTTCCTTTTTTCTTCTCCATCCCACCTAAAGCCCTAGATGAGATTGATGAACCCTTTGGTTTTATAGTAGAAATCAGTCAAAAAGGCAATACTCCTGTTTATGACAGAGTCTGCAGTCCTGGACTTTGAAGACTTTACTATGGCTGTGACAGAAGAGTTTACTCAAGTAATTCAGTTAGAAACATGGCTAACTTATGGGGGGGGTTGTTCTTTTTTTGCTTTTTTATCTCCTTTTTGTTTTGCTTTTAAAGATTTAAGATTTTCATGGGAATGTGTTTTGCAATTCCTCTGGAGATGATGAATGTTTGGATGATAAATCATGAGAGGGGAAAAAAAGAAAGAAAACCTCAAAGAAATGAAGAGTTCACCACGCAAAAATAAACTTAGTCTGGGGGGATGGGAACATCTGCTGGGACTTCACTGTGGGCTAGAATTATGCTGCATTCCAAGAAAGCCAGTAAGAGCAGCAGGAATTGATAGGAAACACTAGATGTAAAGTGATTAACAAAGCTTGTAAGGCCAATGATGGTTTTAGTTTCTCCTACTCTGAATCTCACAGTACCAAACATTTAAGAATGACACACTGAACTTATTTTTATATTAAGCAGGAAAAACATATGAGATAACCAACAACAAATGACCTTTGCTCTGATCCAATCTAATCTTCCCAATAGTGCACTTATGGAAAAGTCCAAGTCCCAGTCATTAATGCAATGAGATAAATCTGCTGTAGTCCAAGTTTTCACATGGACAGTGTGTGAGAAACCACACAGAACTCTTAGCATTTTAAAAATCAGCTGATCAACAGCAACCCCCCCCATATATTCCCTGACTGCTTTAAAATAATTTTGTCTGAGTCAAGAGTAACTGATAATATTCAGCATGACCATGTGGAATTTAGATGCATCCAATAAAATAGGAAAAGCTTTTAGGGAGTGCTTGACTGCTGACATCCTTTGCAGCAAAAGCCAAAAGCTTGTTGAAGAACAGAAAATAAATGAACATGAGTGCTTATTTCTCTAAAGCCAAGTGAAAATATTTAATCACAGTAATCATAGATGTTTGTAGACACAGTAAAAGGCCATAATCAATGGCACTCCTTTTATATATTTAAATAATGAAACAGGGAACAACCACACAACACAATTAATCACCAGCAAATGTAAAGAAATATGCCTAGGCCACAAGAGATACTCCATTTTTCTTCTTATCAGGACAAGATATAAACATGCTTCTGGCATTCTTACTAGCTTATTCTCAAAGATTTTTTATGATAGACTTCTTCTCCAGCCTCCCTATCAAATTTCTCTTTCAGGATGTCCCCTCATAGCATTTTTCCTTAATGCCTAATCTAAGTAAGTCTTGCTGTGCTTTCATTTTATTAATTCTTGCTCTTTCCTAAGGGAACATGAAGATCTCATCTTCCTTACAGCAGCCTCTCAAGTATTTGCAGACTGTTACTATGTCTTTCCTCAATCTTCTGCAGGCAACTGCTTCCACCTCTTCTCACAACTCTTGTATTTCAGATGTCCAATGATTTTAATAGCTTTTTTTCTGGACTCCTTGTAATTTCTCTGGGCTCCTTATCTCT